CGCTCTGCGGGTAGCAAGGGCTGTCCTAGGAGCCTGTCATAGGGAACCTCACCCCTCTGCCCTGCAGCCTTTGTCTGGTCCCTTTAGACGCTCTCTCACTGCACAAACTCAACACTGAGAAGGCACACAATGTGAGACCTTCCAGGGTCCAACTCCTGTTTTCACCTGGGGTAGATCCGTGCAGGAATCTCTCGGGAAAGGCTGGAAAGACAGACACACTGCCTTTGGAAACCTCGAGGCCTAGATGGGGGAGATGCTGAGAGCCAGTAGTACCACGTTTTGACATATTGTTTAATGAAGGTTTCTACGCTATTTAGATCAAAATATATACACCGATCTTTTTAAATGTACCCTTGTAGCATGATTTGGGTGACCCGTTTGGAAGTTAGACACTGCCCTCTCATCCCTAATCATCTCCTAAGGAGGACACTCTCCCTTATAACCCCAGTGCCTGATCACACCTAAGAAACAAGCAGTCACCAACCTCCCCACCCATCTAATGTAGAGTCTACTCAGACTCCCCGCTTCCAAACTGCACTTCGTTTGTCTTCGTGGGCTGGTTGGTTCTCTTTGGTCCCCTAGTCCAGGCCTCTGCATTTGGTTCTCGCCCTGCTGGCTTAGTGAGGAACCCGGCAAGGCCACTCGTCCGTCCATCCGTCCGCTGTTTCACGTTCGGGGTTTGTCCTCACTCTCACGCTCCCATTCAGCTGAAGCACTGTTGGCTAGTGCTCCCTATGGGCGGTCGTCCTTATTGCGTGATGTCGGGGCACGCAATGCCAGGCTAAACCACCGCGGAGGAGGGCGGACGACAGATTGGGCACATGCAGTGACAGATCGCTCCGAAGGTAGATTCCCCTTTGTCATTAATACTCTGCGCAGTGGCACTGCAGTGGCACTTCGGTGATGACGGCTTCCCAGAAAGCCACACAAAGTTCCGACTTCCATTGGTGAGCCTTGCCTTCTCCAGCATGACAGGGAGGGTAGCCAAATGGGCATTCTCCTGACTTCATCATCTCTCCTATATTTATGAGCCTCCGGGTCTCTGTAAAGAATTACCTTTTAATGCACACAATGTCAATGGAGTCTCTTGTATCCAATCAGTTATATAACCCACTAGTTGTCTCTTTTTTTTAGTGCTCAAATTGCCCTCAAAAGGAGTTCCTTCTGCCCTTTTGACACGGCCCCTTTGTTCTTTTGAGAGCAACATGTCCCAGTGTGGGTTGCCCTTGGGCCAAACCTGAATCTGCCCTTCCCCCAAAGAACCGGTCTCATTGTAGTGTGGGGAGTGGTATTTAGAAACCAAAGTCTGTGTGGGAGGCATGCTTGTTGCTCTAGGCAGCCCTCCCGGTGACACACACATGATAGCTCTGAGCATTTTTTTTCTTCCAGTTTTCTAAGTGTTTCTGAAACTGCCTAAGGCTGAGCACCCGCAGCCGGTTGACCGTGACTCAGAGGTAATGGAATTGGATCGACATCTGTTGAGTAGCTGGGAGAGAAGGCTGGTGGGAAATGAGGCCTGAGGGACTCGGGCCCTTTAGGCAACTGTGGACAAAGGCAGCAGTCCGGCTCCCACAGCTGGGAGCCACGATGTCTACGATGTCTACAGAGAGGGCACGGTTCAGAATGTCCTGCAAATCTGCCAACCTTGAAGCAGTTCGTCCCACAAACATGTTTACCACCTGTGCATTGTGTTAGGGAAACCAGAAAGCTATGCCCCCACCCCACCCTCCAAAACCAAACCAAAACAAGAAAACTCAAAATCGACAGTGTGAAGGGTGAGCCAGCGTATGTGGCAAAAGGCTTCTGGAATGGAGAACAGGAAGGGAGCGGTGTGCCCGAAGATCAAAACACCCACGGCTGCAGCCAATGGCCTCGACGGGTTGAGAATCCGGCTTTATTTAAGAACAGCCTGCTACCACAATCAATAAATAGCTACCATTACAAGTACAAGGGAGCCAGTCAATGGGCAAGTGGGCGTGGCTCCATCCCAACAGTAACAGAGTCCCTAGTATAAGTCCTGGCCGTGGGGCTGAGCCCCTGGCTCTCGCCCAGCTGCGAGTAGCTGCTCTAAGCTGTGCAGGTCTTGTGGGTGCAGGGGGGTGACGTTGGAGGAGTCTGGAACCAGGGCAGAATGTACTATGGGCACTAAATACCTTATTACCCTGCAGGTACGTGGGCAACTGGGCAATGCTCTCTGGCCCCGTTTTCCCTCCCTCCCAGAGATGTATCACCCTGTCTATATACAAGCCATGGGGTACCCTGAGCTACCAGGCACCTGTTTCCATGGGGCTCTTTGACACCCCATCGGGTCCCTCTCACACTCCCTGCAGGAGACTCTTGGCAACCTGGCTCCCGCTCAGGATGCAGCCCCAGTTAGGTTCGATGCAAAAATGCCCGTAACCTCGAGTGAGCCAGTACTGTGGTCCTTCCTTCCGGCAGGGCCACCTGCCAATCACTGTCAGGGACCAGGAGTCGAGAAGTGATGCCTCCACAGCACAGAAAGGAGACAGGGTCAAGCACTCATAGTCACTGGGGGGTTTGGGGGTCAGGTGCAGGTGGATGGCCGTGGGGTCCGTGGGAAGCACCGAGTTGTAACCAGATGCCTGGAGTGAGCCCTGCCCTCGGTGGCTGTGTGATTTCAGGGTCCACAGCAGATAGGTCCTCACGACTCTCCCTTACAGCACACCTTTGGGGTCTAAGAATCTGAGCCCTGGAAGGGCAACCCCTCCCCCGACCCCCGACCCCCAGCCCTCCAGTCCTGATTCCATCTACCCTGACTTCTGACCAACAGCTGTCAACGTTCCCGAGCGTCCCTACAGAAGGAGGAAGCCTCTTAGTGATTCATTCCTGGGCCTCTAGTTTCAGGGTCTCATTGCACAAGTCCTTTCGGGTGTCTTAGCTCAGGCTGCAAACACCCTTCAAAACCAGCAGCTCGGTGGGAGGTTCAAGCAGCCCCCAGGCCCATCCATTGGAGGGAGCGGGCTCCCCGCCTGTTTTCAGCTCACCCCTCCAGAGACACCACTCCCCTGCACCGTCCCTACGCTTTGGTGACCTTGCCAGTCCCTGAGGGAGGCGACCCTTGTCTGCACTGTGGGAGCTCGAGGATCAAGAAGCCACAGCAAAGTGTGCAGACTCCAGGGCAGCTCCGCTCCGCGCGAAAGCTTCCTTTGGTGTCCACAGACGGCTATTGTCCCCATCCCCACACCCCTGACTGATGGTGCTGCCTGGTGGTTAAGGACGTAGGTGTCGTTTTCCGACTTGCTGCCTGGGGCTGAGAGGAGAGACTGTGGGATCTGGGATCGGGTTGTGATCATGGTGGGAGGGAGGAAGAGCCGTCTGAAGAGAGCAGGGAAGGGCCTGGAGAAGCCATCAGTCTAGTTCTCCGCCCCAGAGGGGGCTGCTCCATCCTCAACGCTGGCATCTCCTTAAGGCACCGACTGCCCTCTAGACCTTAGCTCACGTCGACATCACTCTGCAGTGTCCTCTTAGGATAACTCTCTGTACTGAGTGTTTCCCCCACCCACCTGCCAGCCCCCTCTGGGACACAGTTTTTCTAGTACAAACCCTCTCCCAGCAAGTCCGCCTGCCTTTCACTAACCAAACCGACCAGCAAGTCCATCCGGATGCCCAGCTCGACCCAGCATGGGGTTTCTGAGACTCTGAATCTCTGTGGGAGCAGATGGCCTCATTTTTCTCTCATGAAGCGGTTAGCCGGTTTGAACTGTTGACCTTATAGTTAGCAGCCAAGGGCTTACCCAAAGGGCCACCAGTGTTCCCATGAGAATGGAACCTCATTAGAATGGAAATACTTAGTAGTGAATAAGTTCTCTCTCTCTCTCTCTCTCTTTTCCCCTCCAGCAAGTTTAGTGGCCGCAGCCTCCTGCTCACTCTGCAGGCTGACATCATGGCCAAGCCCACTTAGCCCTCTGCCCAGTGCCCGGACACTGGCCCTGCCTCTCGCCACACCTGGCAATGAGGAAAGAACCAGCATCCCGGGAAGAACACGCCCTTTCTGATGGCGAGCCAGGTCCAGGCCAGATGGCACCAGGAGGGGTGCTAGGCTATGTCTGGCGTCCCAGAGGCTTGCATGTGTGTGTCAGGGGGCATAGGGGTGGGTAGGGTGTGCTTCTCCTGGCCTGGGAGGTGGGTGGCTGCTGGGAGAAAAGGTGTGAGTGACATTGAAAAAAGAAGTTATAGGTAAATGTCAACACAAACCTGCCCGGGGGAAAAAAGAGCAGGGGCTGAGAGTTTAAAAAACCCTTAGAAAAGAGAATTCTCCCTGAACAGCAGCAGGCAGGCCTTGGGCCCTGAGGAACTGTCGGTGCCCCCGCATGTGAAGGGTCACCTGTCACAGCATCGGTTTGGGGCACCCTGGTCCTGCCGCTTCCTGGACTAGTCAAGTCCCTGTCCCTGCTTTGACCTCATTTCTCAGAGCAAGGCTCAGAGGGGCGAGGGCTGTGTCCTGAGGTCAGAGCAGAGCGGGGCTAGCAGATCGAGCAGGCCGTTGGAAGCTGCCTGTCCCTTGGGCTCAGAGAAGCACCTCTCCAGCCCCCTGCTCTCCAACTTGAGCCTCACACAGGGCTGACCCTGAGGGCCTTTTTAAGCCACACGGAGCTGCCCAGCGCTGCCCCCTTCCTCTGGAGAGCCAGGCTGAGAGCCTGGAACGAGAAGGTGGGAGCTTCCCGTTCTGATCCCAGCCTCGCCACCTACAGGCTGTGTGACCTTGGGAAGTCTAACCTTCCTGGACCTCGGGCCTCTCATCTGGACAAGGTGAGCTCGAGGGCTTCTTCCGGCTTGGAGTGCAAGGGAGCACGTCCTGTTTATTAACCCCTGCCCTTCTGGAGACACACACAGGAGCAGTCTGATTGGGCTCTGGGACTTGCAGGTGGGTCGGTGACTGCAGGGGGGAGGGCAGGGCATGACGAGCAGCCTCCTGTCTCCCTGTATGTGCTGCCCAAACCCTGGGAGGCGAGGCTATGTGGAATGGGTCTTGGGGTGGGGGGGCCTCCCCAAGACAGAGCCCTTGAGTCATCCAGTCACCCGTAGTGGCTTCTATCACTGGGGCTGACAGGGTCGGGTTGGCAGTGTTGGCTGAAGAAGCCTCGTCACTGTCCCCAGGTGTCTCAGCCGCTCCGCCCCCCACCCCCTCAGTCTGGAGGTCCCTCCCCCGAGGCTGAAGGCCTTGGCTCCTGGCTGCAGACACCTGGCTGGAGCTCCAGCGCTGCAGCAGAGTCTTGGAGGTCAATGCCAGGGTCCAGTCATGCCAGCCCTCTCGAGGAGAAAGGAGAATGCTTGGTCACAGAGTCCGCTGACAGCACGTTCCTGTGGGGCCAGGCCGCTGCTCTGAGGGACAGGATCCAGACCGGAGCCCTGGGTGCCATCTCTGCTGACTGAAGGTTGTGTTTATCAAAGCCCCTTCTCCCCCTGGGCCTCTTCCTTCCCCCAGGCACTGCTGAGAGCCTGCCCAGGAGGCCACCGTTAGCATGGAAGTCACTAAAAAAATTCCTCACGAGGGGTGTCCTGTCCTGTGGCAGAATTTGCAAATCCCTACCTCCTACACACAGGGGCACGACTGAAGGTCGGTGCTTTAAGCCAGCTGCTCTAGGACACAGTGCTGGGCTGCCTTGGCGGCTGGAAGGGGCCAGGGCCAGCTGGAGTTGTGTCTGTCCATGGAGGTGGGCATCCAGCTCGGGGGGAGAGGGAGGGGGCCAAGATCAGAGTGCCAGGAAGCCCAGGACGATCAGCACCGCCACAGAGCCGGAGAAGAGGGCGCCAGGGGCCGTGGGACTGACGGCCGAGTCCTCCACCATCATGCTTGTGTCTGAAACCAACAGGCAGGGGAGGGTCAGTGGCACCTGGAGCACCCCAGCCCCACCCCCTGGGCGAGACCAAGACCTTTCCCAGGGAGACTCAGAGCTGTGGGGGGTTAGACGGCTGCTGGACTCAGCCCTAAAGCTCTTGATAGGGCTTCTTGTTGGCTGGTCCTCAGCCTTCCTGCACCCTGAAAGAGCAGCACCCCTGCTCCCCTGGGGTACTGTGTTGGGGCAGGGCAGTGATGGGGCATCTCCAGGGCTGTTCTGCCCTTGGTTCCTGCCTGCCTCCCCCTCCCCCTGGGACGGGGCCGCGGGGAGCGGGGAGCACCTCCGTTCTTCATGATGTAGATGGAGGCCGGGATCCCGTCCCCTCCAGGCCCCGTGGTCCGGATCTGCACCTGGGCCCGGCCAGTGTCCTCAGGGACGGCGATTTCGATCCAGTTCTTGGTGGCCAGGTGGAGCGTGGGCGCCTGGTGTTTGTCGTTCTGGTACAGCATCTGTGGGCAGGATGAGGCAGGTGGGACCTTCCCACACCAGGCACTGTTGGGAGGTGCAGGCCCTGAGCCCCTCCCATTTGCCTCTCCTCTCGTCTCCGTCTTGACAGGCTCCTCACTAGTGGCAGAATGGCTAGCTTCCAAGCAGCTAACTCAAGACGCTGGTGGCGTGGTGGTTACGAGTTGGGCTTAGGGTCAGCAGTTCAAAGCCACCAGTCGCTCCTTGGGAGAAAGATGGGGCTTTCTACTCCGATAAAGAGTCACCGTCTCGAAAACCCACTGGGGCAGTTCTGCCCTGTCGCTGGGAGTCGGCTTGGCAGTGCATTGGGGTTTGGTTTAGACCAGCAGGACCTGCTGGCTTCCCCCAGCCCCCGACCTTCCCACAGTGAGTGTCTCCTGCGAGCTCCCCGGGGACCTGGGGTACAGTCTCGTCTCTCACCCTCACAGCTGGCTGCCTTCCAACTCGGAGCCCCTCAGTGTACAAGGGGGCTTCAGAAAGTGCTCGGAGAGACAACATGTGAAGATCATGGAATCTCCCCC